AACAAAAAAAAAAAAAAAAAGACAAACTTATGCAATGATGTTAAAATTAACCAAGGTGGGTTTACCCAGAAACACATGGGTGGTGGTTTAACAAGATATCCTCATTATGTAATCTGCCACATTAATAAAGTGAAAAACATAGGACAAAGTCAAAACACATAGAAATAAATTCAATGAGATTTGTTTCATTTGTGAAAAAAAAAAATCTTTTAACCAGCTAGAACAAATGAGAATTTCCTCTTATAAAAGTTTTGATCAATGAGAGTAGATGGAAATATCTAAAAACCCATATTGATATCTACCAAAAAAACCTACAGCAAACATTGTTTTTAAAGGTGAAAAGAGGCTGGAGCTGGACTTGCCATGGGTGTGTGAGGCCCTCGGTTGCATTCCCAGCAACCAAGCAACAGAGAAAAATGGCAAGAAGATATAAAGTTAGAAATCTTTCCTTTTTTCTTAGGGATGAAACAGACATACTGATTTTTTTTTTTTGGCCCAGCAACAGAAGAGTTAAATGGCGGGGGGCCGTGGTATTACCTAAAACACACACACCCTAGTAGGGTGGTGGCATGCATCTTGTTCTCCCTACTCAGGAGGCCATGGCAGGAGGACAGCAAGAGGATTGTTTGAAGTCAGCCTGGGCAACTTAGCAGGACCCCATCTCAACACAAACTAACTAACTAACCAACTTACTAAGGTATCTTGAATAAAATGACTGACTTTCATGCAAAAAGTTATAAACTGTTTTAAAGGTCATTAAGTGAGATTTAAACGAAGAAAAAGACACCTGTGCAGGGCTTGGAGATGCAATGTTTGCTCAGGTGGATCCATCAATCCAAACAACATTCTGATGAGGTTGTTGTGGAAAGAGAAACAAAATTTACAAAATTATACACATTTATAAAGCAGAGCGAAGTGTTAAGAATCAACAAGAAAATGTAGAAGAACAAAGTGATGCCTTGCTTCAGTGTCTGTCCCCACTCAACTCAGCGCTTTCTACACAGAATGTCAGCCCCTGGGGCAGCTGCCCCAGTTCTCCAGGGTGTGGGAGCCTGACTGGACAAGGGACACCAAAAACTCTTGCAGAACGGGCTGGGGATTTAGCTCAGTGGTGCTGCACCTGCCTGGCAAGTGCAAAGTCCTGAGATAGATTCCTGGTACCAAAACACCCCCCACCCAATAAAACAAACAAACAACTCTTGGAGAAAGGACAGAGGTTATGAGGAAGAACACAGAGACAACTGGCAAGGCCTTTGGGGAGAAGCAGGGACGAGCCCTTCCCCTGCACCTGACTCCTAAGTACAACAAAGGAAAGTTTAAAATTTTAGAATATCAAGACAGCAAGGAAAGAAAAAATTCAAGACACAAAAAGCACAAGTTGAAAGAAAAAGTGTAAAAGTAATGTAGTGCTACAGATAGCATAAAGTCACAGACTATGGAATGTATTTAATAGTACATCAACCATGAATCAGTACCCAGAGCTGTGGGGACCCCTATAAATTAATGAAAGAACAGCAACATACAGTAACATCTGCAGGCATTTAACACAGTCTGCAGAAGTGGAGACACAGAGGCCAGTACATGAGCCTTGCCTCATTACAATCAGGGGAAATGTGAATTAATTCCAGCACATTCCTTTACACATGTACTGAGCACCTAGCATGTGTCAGCTCAAATGTGGGCAGGGCTGGGAGACAAATCCGGACCAAATAAATGGTAAATACAGAATAAATCTGGTTGTAATGAGTTCTCAGGAGAAAAACACAGCAGGAAAGCAGCCGAAGAATCAGAAAGCAAGTCTACATCAGTGTGGAGTGGGAGGCTTTTGTGGAGAGGCCAAGTGATCAGGGTTCTGGGGGTCCAAGGAGCAGTCAGGAACTGCTAGAGAAGGAGGTTCTTTGCAGGGGCCAAGGAATGCATGGAAGCAGAAGATGGTCCAGGGCCTAGGAGCCCAGCAGGGCACAGGTAGAGAAAGAAGGAGAGAGTGCTGGGCAGCGGAGAGGTATTGGGGGCCAAATCCCAAGTTTGCTTATAAAACAAGGAAGGAAAAAGAAGAAATGGGAACTAGCCTTAGTGTCCCTCAACAGGTGGACAAAAAATTAAGTTGTGGCAAAAAGTGAAGGTGTATGAACAAAACTGTGATGCCCTCCAGGGATAAATACAAACACCAAAGTGGAGTGAAAGACACAGGCCAAGGTCACATGTCACACAGTGGCAAAGCTAGAGGCCTCCAAGGGGTACCTGGTGCCTGCCAGGGATCCAGGGATCGAAGGACAGCAGGACAGTGTGGGGTGGGGAGGGCACTGGGGCTGCAACTCTCTAATTTTCTATGTTGGGAACATAACACACAGGTTTCTGGTTTTAATCTCTGTCATTTTCATATGTTCAAAATGTTTCCTAATTTAAAAAATTCCAGTGAAGCCTAAAAACCATGCTGGGGGTTAGAATAAGAGAGATGAGGTTGCCCAGTGAGGCCTTAAATGTGTTACAGCAATCTGAAGATGAACACAAGCACACAATGAGGAAACAGAGTGATTTCCCATTCCTCTTGGGCCAGGGCCAGCAACCTGGGGGTCAGAACCAGGAGCCTGTGGTTCATGGCAGGACACTGAACTCCAGCTTCTGGGCAGTGCAGGTCAAATGCGGGATTGGTAGGGGTGGTGTGTGTGTGGGGTGCCAAGGATCTTCAGAGGGGAGCAACTTCCTCTGCCTCTGCAGCAGGCCCTCAATCTCTCAGGCTGACTCTTGGGGGCCTCCTGGGCACTGCAGGGCATGGTCTTCCACCCACTTTATGCCAGCAGCACCTGATTCTGCTCCCATGTGAGAACCAGCATGAGTCCTGGGGACAAAAACTCTTAGCCAGAGCCGCCATTCTACACTGCTGGGGGTTTGGCACACATGAGGGTGCTCATTTGTCCAACAAAGATAGATGGATGCTTTGGCAGCCCTCCTGCAGGACATATGGCCTCGCTTATGTCCTCTTATACTGACCTGCAAGCCAGTCCCACAGCAGGACATGCTTTTTGCTTCCACATGTCCCAGTTAATATTTTCTTTCCTGATCAACTGAAATAGCTCAGGCCATTTATGTGACCTGACTCACCTATGAGGGAGTTGAGTGCAGAGTAGGAGCTCACGCGGCGCATCTTGTCAATGGTCTCGAAGGACAGGATGTACTCCTCGTTCTCTGGGCTGCCCAGGGTGCTGCTAGCACTGCTACTGGTGCTAAGATTCCCGGGAGAGAAGGCCACTGCGCCACCTGCTATCAGAAACGATGGGATGGTGTTAGCTTGGTGTCCAGGGCCCTCTTTCCCATCATACAGTTAAGAGTTCAACTGATGAGAACATGTGCATTTCTCAGAAAAGTAATGCTCACCACACACGTGGACTCAGATACACATATGCAGGTGTGCACACAGGGACACACCTGGGCATATGTGCACACACACTGCCACACACGTGGGTGCATGTGTGAACACAGGCATGCCCTACCCTGATCTCTGCAACTGCATTCTCTAGTAGAGCTGAGGAGAACCAGCTTTGCTCAGGCTTCTCTGCAAGCCTGGAGGTACCCATGGCCATTCTGGGTGCACAACTACACCTTTACTACAGGTGTAGAAGACTCCAGACCCAAGAACAGCTGGCCAGTCACCACACTGGTAAAGGGACACCAGGGCAGCAGTTTACGGTAGGGAACAGAGCAGAGGTAGAGTGGCCCTTGCTTAGGTAAAAGCTCCATAAAGTAACATCCCAAACCCTCCCAACCCAAGTGCCCAGTTTCCAGGGTCTTACCTTCTTCTGTCAAACTCAGATTTTGTAGAGACTTGTTCAGGCTCCTTGCGGTGGTGACAGCTCGAATGTTTCCGTAGGAGCTCACAGAACGAAGTTTGGGAGTGCATGGACTATCTCGCACTGGGGTCAAGCTCCCCCCCTCTAGAAAAGAGGAAGAAGGAAAAGACAGGCTTCAGGTTGGGAGGGTATGGCCTCCCTCAAGGGTGCAGCAAGGGCCTCAGGACCAAGCACGGACAGAGAGGGAGGGTATCTCAGTGAGACCCTGACATGAGCCTAGCACCCCTCGGGCAGAGGACTGATCGTATACAGTTCTGTGAGCATTACAGAAGATGATGTGGGGCAGTACTGCAACTGTGCCTCTCCAAGTTCACACAAGGTGCTCACTGGTGCGGGCCATGGGCTGCTGCCCTGCAGCAACAGCACAGCAATGCCTCCTGGTCCAGCTGGGCCAGGACCCTGGCAGGACCCCCGCCTACATCTCACTGGTGTGTTCATCCACCAAGTTCATTTTTCACCCCCACTCCCCCGCCTAAAAGCAGGAGTGCTTGGTTATCAATCATGAGCCCTCTTTACTGTGATCTGGAGGGAGGGGCGGTGCACAGGTGATGAAATATAAATGTAAAAGATGACTGCATCTTCCTGTGAAAAGGACAAATACGAGCAGAGGAGCTTCCTAACATGACTCACCGAAACATGAAAGCAACAACACTGATTCAACTGCTCATCACAGGAAGATGGCTAATGTTCTTTTCTGCAAAGCACTACTGAGGAAGGTTTGCTATCCTTCAAGATTTCCACAAATTTGATTTCCAAGACAGATAAAATGGAAAGAAAAGAGTGAGAGGGTCAGTGTGGCCCCTTTTCCTGTACTTTGCATTCTGCTAAGTGCCCAAGACGGTGGGAACAATGGGGCTCACCCAGAGCAAGGTTCCAGAAACCCAAGTGTGGACTTGGCCTGACTGTAACTGCTGACAGTTCTGCTGAAGGCTGGCGGAGACAGTCCCTGGGTCCCAAGAGCTGAGGTACCTGTGGCTGCCGGAGAAGGCAAGGGGTAGTTCTTTTCCTCTTCCATGAATTGCAGGGCCACTGTGCAGAAATTGCTCTCATACTGAACCACCAGATGACTCAGAGCCACTACTAGCTCCTGCCAAGAAAGAGAAGGCACAGTTACGTGGGTGGGAACTGACTGGGCAGTAGACTTACAAGCTAAGGCCCAATACCTGCATCAGGAAGGAAGTAGGAAGGCAAGGGCGGAGCAAGAATGCCCCCAGTCAGAAACCAACATGCATGCAGCCTTGGAGCAAGCAGCATTGTCAAGCTTGCTGACCAGGGCTTCAGGAGGGCCTCCGTGGGATGGCCTGCACACCAGCCGGAACCTGCTTACTCACTGGTAGGGTGGAATAAAGCAACTTGAGAATTTCTGAGGCCACGGTGTAGATCTCACACCTCCAGAGTGGGTGAGGTATGAGAGTTCATGGCCTCTTGTTTATAATTAGTCCTGCAACCCTGGGCTGAAAGATGCATTTCTCAAGTTGACCCCACAGTCCAGAGAACCAGACCAAAGTAGGACACATCTGAGAACCCGGTGCAGGCTCTTTTCATTAAGTGCATAATGTTCATAGCTATATTAGATTTCAGTTTCTAAGAGGGAATGAGAAAAAACCCTAGAACAAAAATATGATCTTTAGGCCCAAGTGGTTCAATCCAAGGAAACAGGCACAGTTTCTATCTCTTTTAGGAGGTTTAATGCTACAACATGAGTTCTTGGACTTCTGAAAGATCTTTAGGGAAAACAAAATGGAAAGCAGGTTTATAAAAGCGAATACTTTTTCCTGCTGCTACTCATAAGGCTCTGACAAATTTATCTGCACCCACTCCTCCGTGCTCCTACTCCTAAGGCTGGGGAGACCTCTGTTAAGTGCTGAGGTCTCCTGGGGAGCCAGACAAGATGAGCCCTGGACAGGCACCCTCGGCTCCCTTTGTGGGCAGCTCTCCTCTCCTGGATGTTCTCTCCTGCCTCAGCCTCATCCACTCCTTGCCTTTCACCTGTCACATCTGGCTGGCTCCACAACCCACCCCCGCCCCATCTCTTCTCTAGCTCCAGGCTGGTTCTCCCGCCTGTTGGCTCTGAGCCTCCATTTGAAGCCCTAACACCCTGCCCCATCATCTGCTGGTGCTGTGCTTTCCATTCAGATCCACCAGCACCTCTTGTTTTTTTTTTAGACATATCTGGCTGGCTCCACAACCCACCCCCGCCCCATCTCTTCTCTAGCTCCAGGCTGGTTCTCCCGCCTGTTGGCTCTGAGCCTCCATTTGAAGCCCTAACACCCTGCCCCATCATCTGCTGGTGCTGTGCTTTCCATTCAGATCCACCAGCACCTCTTGTTTTTTTTTGAGACAGGGTCTCACTACGTAGTTTGCACTGGCCTTGAACTCACTGTGTCGCCCAGGCTGGCCTCGAACTCCAAATGACCCTCTGCCTCAGCCTCCCAAGTGCTAGGATTACAGGCGTGCGCCACCACACCCAGTAGCAACCTCTTGATTGTGCCAGGGAACCACAAGTCCTATTGCGTAGGTTAGACCTTGGCATTGTACCCCCACCCCCATTGTGACTGAGGCTGAACGCATCGGGGGCACCTGCCAATCTCCTCAGCCACTGCCAATACCCCATAGCTAATGCTTGTTGACAACTGCCCAAGTCAATACCACAGGCTCCCCAGATAACCACAGGACCTACCCCTCTTTCCCTGTGCAAGGGAGTAAGATGCTGCCCAGTGCAGCCTCGAATAAGCAAACACCCACAGGACTCCTCCTGGGAAGGGGAGGCTACACTTGGGTCGAGCCCCCTCATTTGGATGTAAAGTGAGAAAACCTAGTGTTAGCCCTCAAAGATATTAGTGCACACCAAGGTCTCGGCCCTTTGGCTGATAGAAAGCCATGGAGTGTGAGCCTATTGGTCAAGGGAAAGTCAAGAGCACAGCTCACCCTGGGAGGCTGCACTAGTGTGCTGCAAAGGCTATCTGTCTGCAGGCTCTGTGCTCCTAAAGCTGAGGCTCCTGTCCACCTCTTCTGGAGCCCAGTACGAGCAGGGCTCATGTGTGAAGCTCAGTGTGAGCAAATGAGTGGAGAAAGGGCCCTTCCCAGGGCTTCACACAGCTGAACCTGGGTCAGCAGCAGCTCTGAGACTCAGCTGCTCTCGTGGCTGACAGTGCCGTGTCTAGAGACCACAGGGGACAGACAGCGTGCAGCCCCGAGGCTGCCCATGTGGAGGTGTGCGCTACCTGAGTGCTCCAGGGTCCAGGACCTGTGCTCTTCAAAGGCACAGGAGAGACCACAAACAGAAGAGAAGAATAAATAGATCATTTGAAACATTAAGTTTTAAACTTTTTTGTATTTGATTACACTTAGGTAGCCATGATAGTGCAAATAGGGTGATGTGAAAGTGCTCAGATGCACTGGAGGGCTTGTCAGGCAGCACCCCATGTGGGTTTCTGGAGACCTGGGGACCGCTCTCCCCATACTGGAAACTCAAGGGAGCACTTCAGTTATCATCCTTTCTATTTTTAAATTGTTTCTGCAAAGAAGGAAAAAGCCTTTCCTTACTTTAGACAGAATTTTTACAGACAATAAAACAAAGTACCAATTTGCTACGTTTTTCAGTGATGTCCACTTGAGGCAACCCAACATGGGACAAGGAAAAACTGAGCACAGGCTGTAGGAAGCCAGGTCCAGAGACCTCACAGCTGCTGACCTCAGAACTCAAAGACACCGAGGTCCCAGGGCAGGGGCTGTTGGAACTTGACTTTCCATTTTAAGATCTCATTAGAAAATCTGGCACAGGACCTGGGTTAATTTCAGAAGAGAACACGAGGTGCAATGCATCCTCTCTATGTGAGCCCGGGTGAAGCAATGTGCTCAGACACATCCCTCCCAAGTCAGTCATGTGGCCTGCTCCAGTCACAGCCAACTCCAGACAGGTCCATCTCAGAGGGGAGCCAAATATAACTGCTTAGAACCACCATGAAGGAAGCTGGTAACATACAGATCTGCGGTTACCGGTGGGTGGTTTTGCTTTCCCATCCTCCCAGTAAACATTCTCTGCTCAAGAGCATCCTCTGGGTTTGCCATGAAACCACCAGAAAACCACAGTGTTTCTCCCCAGCACACCTTTCTAGCTGGGATAGAAGCAGGAAATCTAGGTTGTGTGGAGATAGGTTTTCACAGAATTTGAAACCATGGACAATAATCCATGATATTTTTATGTCTAAACAGATAAAGAGCTTTCAAAGTCTACAAAACTGCTTCATGCAGTCACTGGCAGACAAGGCATGGGACACACTACACACACCTGCTGTCATCTGTTGGGGGCCACTCCTGTTTCGGGGTGTGATGACATCTGCATGTGCCCCAGGCAGAAAGGAGTCTACCATACAAGATTCAGGAGGCACAGCCTGTGAATTACCCTCAGATGAAGCAGGCACATGAGTGTGTAATGAAGAAACATACTTGATAAATCGGCATTGAGTGATCTGCATTCACACGATGCATGCAGGGGTAAAGTGTCTCTGCTGACCCAGATAGGGTAGTGCTGGCTTGGCCCTTGTGGTGTAGGATGCCTTGCAGCTGCCTGAAGGGTTACGGCCACATACCTTCCGGACCATGGGGCTCCCATCATTGATTAGCTGGGCCAGCATCATGGCTACATTGTGGTCGATGGTGGTGGAGTGGTCTGTTCTCTCAGCAGAGTTGCCCACAAATGTGCCAAGTGCAAAGACAGCTGCACAGCGGACCTGCAAGGCAGAGGACTAGGAGTCACAGACATGCCCACGGCTGGTGTGTCTACTGTCTGCATTTCTGACAAGACTGCCTACAAGTTAATCCAATTCGGTTCAGATAAGCACAGCTCAATTCAATTCCACAACTACTATTGAACAGCACTCTGAGCCCAGAGCTATACTCATATTGACAGAGCAAAAATAGGAGAGGAAGCCAGTTTGAGGCCAAGGGCCAGGGAGCTGAAGCAGGAACTGTGTTTCTTCTGGAATTGATGGGCCAGCCAGGAACCACAGGATTTGTGGTGGAAACAGAAGCACTGAGAGGGCTGGGCTGGGTCATGGAAAGGAGGGAGAGGCAAGTGGTGAAGGCATGGGCCTTGGGGACAGAGAACGTTAGAGAGGAGGCCTAGAGTGTGCCAAGCTCCTGGGGACTGAGGGAGCGAGGTGAATGACACCTGGCTGGTCATGATGTCTGGAGACCTTGGTCAGCTCTTGCCTCCAAGGCTGTGTGATCTTGGAGTGGGGGCTGGGAGGAGAAGTCAACCTTGTGGAGCTTCCACTTATCTCTAGAAGGAGCACCACAACATATCACGCCTGAGGCTGTGGGAAGAGTCAATGAAGTAACATACAAGAATCCTAGAACTTCAACAAATGGTGCTAAGACTTTGTCCTGTAGAACAGTCAGTGAGCACACACACTTGGATGCATTCAGAGAAATAGTGGCACAGGATGGGAAGTCTGGTGGCTCCTAACCCCCACACTATGAGCATCTGTCACCCTGAGAGCCATGGTATGAACAGAAGGCTTCAGGCCCTGAGAAGGCTCTGCATTTCCCAGTCTACATTCATGAAGTGGCAGGAGTATCTGGGCACAACACCCTCACGCCAGTCCAGGGGGCTGTTCCTGAGCCCATGCGCTCCCTACTCCTTTCAGTCCACATGTGAACCCCAGGTGGCTCTGAGCCCGATGAAGGAGCAGAGCATGGGAGAAGGGAATCAGGTCATCCTAAGAAGAGGGCGCCAAGGAGGGTCTTGCCTTACAGAACTGCCCAGACACCGTTAGTGACACACCTGTACTCAGCAAGGGGCCAGGCCTGAAGCACTCAGGAGAGGAGGGACAAAGTGCTATGTATTTCACTGACCTGGAGACAGGCAAGAGCCCAGATCACCAGCACTGTGATCAGCCACATGGGTGAGCATGACAGCTGGGAGGGGTCCTGTGTTCCAGAAAGCTGTTTGAAGGTTCTGAGCTTGCCCACCCCTCCCTAGCCAATCTGCCTGTTATTACAGCCCCTCTATCCACCTCTCCCTGTACTTTCTCAGGCGTGAGGCCTGTGAGCAAGATGACCCTCCCTTGGCCCTGTGGCTCCCTGCTCCCCAAGGAGCCAACCCCAGCCATTCCTCAAGCCCTGCTGGCACTGGACAAGGCCTTTATGTCCTCAGCTCCTCCCACTCCAAGGCACACTTCTGAGCAGCAAATGTGACCGGGTGTAATCCATGCTGCAGGGCCAGCCCAGGCTGCCCTGTTGGCCTCAGGCTGGGAACAACAGCATTTCCTCTGACCAACCCTCTCAGTTACCTCAGGGATACTGGCTCTGCCTTCTTTGGCTGTGAGGATGCTCAGGCCAACTCTGTGGCCACTTAGGGAAAACAGCCATATGGGCGGCCTCTCTGCTGGCCTCAGTTCTTGAGGAGATATCTTGTTTGTGTCCTAACTCCCCTCTAGTTCCTCCTCTGCAACTCACTTCTTCAGTGTAATGTCATACTCTGCATTTTTGTTTGATGCTTTCAGCCCATTTGAGAACAAACTAGAAAGTAAGTAAATCTATTTCCTGGAGGAAGTCTTTGCACGAGGACCCCTTCATTTCAGAGGGCCTGAGTGGGTGCTGGTCCCTGGGGGGCAGTGAGGGCTAGTGGCCTGGAGTGTTGCTGGCACCCAGAGGCTGACTCAGAGGGAAACTGGGAGGACTGCAGGTGTTGGGGTTTGGCCTCACCTGGGGTGGGGACCTCACAGAGCCCCTCTGAGCTGCTGTACTGGTGAGGTGAGTAGGGATTCTGGGGGCAGACTGTTCCCCTACCAACTGGCTGAGGAGCCCACCTGACCCCTGCACAGGGTTAGAAGCTGGCACGTGGCCTGCAGGGGTACAGTAGCCAGCATCTATAGCCTGCACCAGCAAGAGGGAGGCTGAGGTGCTGGCCTGGCTCCCCTTTGGCAAAGTGAAGATGACTCAGTCCAGGCCCATAGGAACCTTGTAGCTCACAGCACACAAGCACTGGCTCTGTCTGCATGAGAAGTCGTCAAGTATGTGACCTTTGGTACCAAGGTTTCAGTGTCCTACTCCTGTGAACTGTGCGGAGCCCTGAGCGTTCTAGATGAAAAGTTGTGCTGGGTGTGAGTGGCCCTCTGTGCTGTTCCTGGGACCTTTTCACCAACAGCATCCCAGAAGGACCTGTAGATCTGACAGCCCTGTGAGGATGACTCACCTCAGGGATGGGGTCGGAGAGGAGGCTGTAGAGCTTTTCGTGGGCGCTGTCCCTTACCCCGCACCATCGTGCTGAATCGAAGTTCTGCCAGATCCTTCCCAGACAGATGGCCACCCACTGGCGCAGCAGGGGATGCGGGTCGCTGAGCTGCTCCAGGCAGATGGCGATCAGGTTCCCCTGAAGGCAGGCTTCCTGGATGGCAGAACATGAGACAGTGGTCCTCTGCCCTGGGAACCAGGCCAGGAGAAGGGGCCTGGCTGGGGTAGCAGCTACTGTGGTTTCTCAGGGAAGCCTTGCTCAATCACAATGCAAGATGTGCTCAATTTTCCTTATTTTAAACCTTGAGGATTCAATATACCCTGACAGCTCTCCTGTGCTATCACCAGCTACAGGTATGGTCTGGAGGCCCCACTTCCCGAGGAGAATGGCCATTGGATGGCCACAACGGGACCCTCCGTAAACATGGTGGCTTGGGCTACACTTCTGTTCCCCTGCAGTGCCAGAAGGGTGGGTAGCTCAGATTAGCTGCAGCTATACGGCACTCACCTGCCCTGTAGTATAGCTGTTGACAATCACAGCAAGAATGAAAGCCGTCATGGTTCTATGTTCAGCCTGCAAAACAAGAACCAGCCATGGCTGTGTGTTTTCCCACAGTAGGGATGGAAGGTTCTCCAAGCAGAGTGACATCACCTTTCAGAGTCTTCAGGAAAAGCTGGACGTTGACTAAAACAAGGAGCTAGCCTGCGTGCTGTCTGATTTGACTCCACAAAGAGCAGCATTTTTTTTTAGTTACCGGGGATCAAACTAAGGTCCTTGCACTTGCCAGGCAGGCAGCGGAACCACTGAGCTAAATCCCTGGCCCGAAGAGCAGCATTTTTAAAGGGCAGACTGCTCGCTTGACTGCTAATGCCACAGGGTGGGCCAAGGCTGGCTTATGCCCTCCACAGAAGGCCATCAAGGGAGTTCACTAGTACGAAGGGCTGATCACCTTGCCTCACCTCTCTGCCCACTTCTATGTAAGCATTCTGTCCCCTGCTCAAGCACACTGTTAACAAAATGAATGAAAGTAGCATTCTAACTTTTTCTTTCTTCTTTCTGGGCTTCCATTGGATAGATCAATTTTCCTTCCTTCTCCTCTGTGCCATGCCCTTCTGGAAATTAGCCTACTTTTGACTTCTTAATGGTGCTTTATCTTTCTTACATGTACACAAATGATCTAATCTGTTCTATATTTCCCTTAGACTGCTGTTAAGGCTCATAGGGTACCTTAAATCCAATATTACTCATCTCTAACCCCTCTAATTAGTGATTACTAATATTATTTATTTTTATAGTCAAAGCTGACTTGTGTCCCTCAGCAGGTCTGCCAGTGTCTTTGCTTTTGGTATTTTCTGGGGCCTCCTTTTTCCTACTGTCGCTCTGGGTTTGCTCACTTTATAACAGGCCTGATGGCTGCTGTCCAGGGACAGGGTGCTCAGGAAGGGCTAAACTCAGCCTGTGTCTGAGAACATCTTTCCTCATCCTCCCCAGGGCAGCACAGCTGGTTAGGGAAGGGCAGCTGACAGTCACCTCCTCAGCACTGTGAAGGTTGCCCAACTGGACTGTCGCCTAGGATGGTGCTGCAGTGAGACTGTACTATGTGTCGGTGCTGTCCAGCCCTGGCAGGTAACCTTCCTGTGTGCTCTGGTTGCTTTCATGGTTTTCCTTCGAGCCTCTGATATCCATCACTCTCATTATGATGTGCCCATGTGGATTTGTTTTCATTTAACTTCTCAGGGATTCATGGTGCTTTTAAAATCCAAACACTCATTTCTTTCTTCCAGTATGGAAAGTCCTCAGCCACAATCTGTTCAAAGGCTGCTTCTCTGCCTTTCTGAATGATGTGCCAGTACCCTTTCTCATCCATGTCCCTCACCCTGTCACACCCCAGGAGGCCCCTTCTCTGACTCTCCTACGGTGCATCTCTTTTGCTGTTCCGTTTATCTGCTGAGTTTTCAAATGATGACAACTGTCTCTTCTTCCACGACAGGCTCTATTTTTTTCAGATCTGCCTATTTTTTAAAAAATCTATTATTTTGAGGATGAGTAAGAAACACAAAACACATTGTTTTCTAATGCAGACACAAGACTATTTCTGGGGAGCACAAGGGCTTAATGTTTGGCATAAACTGTCTTACTCATTGGTTCTGAACATGCTCATTCATGCTGGACTCCCTCTTCCTGGGGCCCTGTGAACTCTGCTCTGGATGCCAGTCCTCCTCTGTGACCCTGTGTGTTCATCCTGTGGGAGCACCTCACATTGCCTACCCCTGCCTGGGTCTGTAGGCGTCCTCTAGGAAGGCTTTGAGTTTGGGTCCTCTGTGACCCCAGGAGACTTCGGGGATCTACACATGGTTTTCATGAAACTTTCTTGCTGTGGCTCTAACACATGTGGGCAGAGGAAACTCAGATCCTGCACTGTAAGTGGAATTGGCCTGAAGTTTCAGGTTCTCTTCATGGCCCTTCTCTTTTCCACCAAGAACAGTCACTCTGCTTGACCTCTTTCACGAGGGTCGGTGCACGACTTGCAGGCTCCTGCTGTGAGTGGGGCGGTCACTGAGCAGCACAGCCTGTGCGGGCCTTGCAGCCCTCACAGACTGAGGGTCTGTATGGAGAGTGCCATCCTCGGAGTGATTGTGGTGGTGCCTCTGCTGCCTACCGGGGCTCTCTGTGGACTCCTTTCTCAGTCACTAGCATTTGAGAATTTCCTTTTCCTTCTTTCAAACTTGGCTATGTCTTCCCGTTGGAAGAGCTGAAGCTACTTCCTCATGTCAGCTGAGCTCACCATTTTGCTGCAAACTGCAGCTTAGCACTCACTATCGCTCATTTGATTTACTTACCTCGGAGAACAGGGAAGTGGTTATTTCCCAAACTCATATCAAGTATATTAAACTGCCTATGATACTGTTCAAGAATATCACTTAACTGAAGCACACAAGTACTATCTACCTTTCATATACCAGTACTGTTTATCCTGTTGCTGGTATTTTCTTTATCATTTAGTTTTAAAAAACAACTTAGAGGGACCGGAGATTTAGCTCAGTGGTGCCACGCCTGCCTGGCAAGTACAAGGACCTGAGTTCAATATGCAGTTCTGTAAAAACAAAGAAATGAACCAACAAACAAAAAACAACTTAGAGGATAAAATTATACACAAAAGTTCTCTCTGTAACCAAAGCCACCTATGACTGTGTAGATGTGCTGCTATACTTAAATATTATGGCAATATTAAGTTAAATTGATGAGTTAGAGTAGCTATTTTGTCCTCATTAGAGAATAAAAAAATTAACTATAAAGCATTATAAGAAGTTAGCATATAAGTTTTTCATGGCTTATTTCATCTAATTTTCAAATAATTTAACAAAATAAAAATATGTAAAACTTGAAGTTTCAAATGATTTATTCTTTCCTTCCTCCTTTTTTCCTGCAATAAGGCACAGTGGATCTGTTAAATCCCAGGGCCTTGGAGGCATGAAGTTCCTGCATCATGGGCGTAGTGTGCTTATTCGTCCATCAAATGCAGTGAGGGAGAGACGTCACTGCGAAGCGACGGTGTGTGGTGAAAGCTGATGGGTGCAAATCAAGCTGACCCAACCTGGGGACACGGGTGAACTAAGCCAGTTGTGTAGGGCATGGTGTGCAGCACAGCATCGTACAGCCTGGCCGCCCTCTGTGGAGAACCTCTCTGGTGAGCGAGCAAACAGGGGCCACCTTGCCTCCTGCCAGAGGAGCTGCAAAGCACTGCGTGCGAGCAGAGACAGAGGACACTGATCTCGGGCCCACTCAAAGAGAATGCGGTTTGGTGCTTACTGGCATGTACGGGTCTGCCAAGACGGAGAGGAAGTACTTGTGACCGTTGTCCTTCACGAGGTCAGCCTGGCACGACTGGAGGGAGAAAGGAGACATGGGACAGTCGTGAGTGTGGACACCTGCACGGGCTTCCCAGGCATCTTGTGAAGTATGAACACATGAGTAGGCACAAGCTTCATTCCCTCTTATTTCTCCTGTCACGTTTGGCTTGCATTTGAGAAAACACCTCAGGCTGTTGCTCACAGACACACTTCCTGGGCTGAGGGAAAAAAACCTGGATCTTACATATTATCACAAGTGAAGTGCCCCATGACATTCTCTAAAAGCACCTTCTGGCCTCCTGGCTGCTGGCTGGCTGATGTGGGAGTCACACAACCCCAATCCCCAGATGCAGCTCTATGTGCCACCCAGCACCAGCCCTGTTTCCATAGCCCTGGGTCCCTACTGAAGGCTGACAGGATTTGGCCTTACAGAATACTTGAAAACAGTCACAAGTGAGTACAACACTAGGAATCATTAATATCCCACAGTTATTTTTCACAGGTGTCCTCCAGAGATAATTCCCTAACCACAGAGAGAGCTCTATGGTGGGAGGTGAAATTTGTCAAAGGAGCCTCAAAGTTGTAACTCTTTCCAACTCCTCAAACTGTCCTGTCCCACTGAAAATATGGTGTGTGGTTGCTGTGTGTCACACTGTTCTGAGGCCATCCACAGACAGCACTGGCTCACTCCTGGAGGGACAGGGTAACTATGCCCCACTCACTGCTGCCATATATGGCAATGCATGCTTGCAAAAGCAGAGGTGCCACAGTGGCTGGCAGTGGTGGGGGCGTGCTTTCTGGAAGAACTCAGCAGAGGACTAGACAGGAATAGCCAAGGGAGGAAGGGAAGACAGGACAGGGCAGGACAAAGGGAAATACAGTCCGGCTCCTAGACTATGGTATAGAAGAGTGGGTGATGGGCCAGCAGGAGCTGAGGTATGGGGACAGGGAAGTTAGGCCCCAGGTCCAAGGTTAGTTAGTGGGGAGATGCCAACTGGCTGGGCCAGAAGGGGCTGGGGTCCAGGTGGGGACCATGTGCCACAGGGACAGAAAGATGAGGGCCAGCCTGGGAATATGAGTGTCGTGGGGGAGGAGCGGAGGTCCACTTCCGGTATTGTTCTCTAAAGAGACAGGGGTGCCACTGACATAGGAGGGGGGCTGCAGGGACAGGGGCTCACAGGAGCACATGGCAGTGGAGGCATCTGAGGCATGCAGGCAGAGCTACTCAAGAAGAAGATGAACGTGTCCTGAGCTGAAGTCACATGGGCACTGGCGACACCTGAAGCCTCCTGGCTCTGAGTCGAGGGTACCCTGGAGCGTGTAGAGCAAGCTGAGGCTCAGGGAAGGGGCCTGGGGATAGAGAGGCATGTGCTCAGGGGGAAAGAGGCTTCTGTGGAACAAAGCTTGTAGTTTCATGGGAGCTGAGAGGAAACGGCCCAGGTGCTGAGGCTGGCTGATTGGCAGGGAATTACTGCAAGTGCTGACACTATCATGCTTGGACATTCAGGGGTTGAGGACAATGTCTCAGGAGGCTCAGCTCTATACAGCTGAGAAGGAGAGGAAAGGGGTCCCAGTTTGAACACAGCCAGGTTCAAATCAGGTTCTTTGGTCGGCTGTGGACCCCAGCTACGGATGAGAAACCTGTGCACGACTGGTGCAAAGATGAAATAACACACACAACAAAGAAAGGATACTATTGTTCCCAGAAAGGGAGGGACCCAAGGAGTTCAGTCATGGTGCTAACAGCTTGCTGGATGAATCTCCAGTGACACTGATTAGTGACAGGACAGTGCCCCCAGGAGAGATGTATGTCTTGCCAACCCGCAGCCAGCCCCGCTCTAGAGGACGGAAGCTGCACCTTGCCACGCACTGCTCTCCAGAGCACTGGCTCTTGGGGGCCGTTCTCACAGAGGCAGGGTAGCTGTGCAGCTGAGTCTGTGCTTACTGAAGCCCCACTCCTCAGGGTGCTCTTGTAACAAGGAGTCCCTTCCTCACATCCACAGACTGGTAACAGGGCCTGCTCTGTTGAAATGGGAATCAGGCAAGATGGAGAGGAGTACCGGCTCGGGCTGACCCCAGTGGGAAGCCAATGAAGCCTCAGTTTTCATGAAACACTTTAGAGGCTCCTTGCCATCATCAAGGCTGTTGGCACGGGGCAGTCTTCCCTATGACTCAGCCCCTAGGGCCAGCAGAGTGGATGTTGTCCCCAGAAGCAGGAGTGCCTTCTGGGAATAAAGTCACCTTCCTTTATTTTCAAACCAGAGGTTCGACAAGTCAAATCAAAGCCCACATGTTCAGGAGAAGTTTCTTAAACATGTCTCAAAGAGTAAAGTGTCATTAATTCATACCCTACTAACGTTGAATCTGAGCCTCCTAAGTCAGAATATCTAAAACGATAACTTTAATATGCTTTTAAACCAGGAGTCTGGCAATTAGGTATCTATTAAAAGATCTGTTTTGATAAGCAGTAATGGCACCTCTTCATAGCCTACCTTCACTTTCAGGGCTCGGCACATGTCACTGTTTCTTGGTTTATAACACTGAGACTTTTACGCCCTGCAGCCTGGGGCCTCTCTCCCCGGTGCACATCCCATCCCACGCAATCTCCCATTATGAGTGGCTCAGGCCAAGGGCCTCATTATACGGAAAGGAAAGCAAGACTTCAAAATACAAGGGTAGAAAAGCCACCAACAGGTGATACACTTGGCAAAAACAGGCTCGGTGGGGGAGATCCGGGCTCCGACAAAGGCCAGGTGTTGACAGCCAAGAATCTGCCAAAGCAGATGCTTCCCAAGGGCTTTCCTGTGTTGTGTTTGCTGCTCGCCCCCAGTCAGGTACAGATGTGACATATTAAGGCCAGAGGAAAAAGAAGGGGATGGGGGAAGAGAAGAAAGCAGGAAAATGAAATGGTTTTCTTGGCGCCCCTCTCCCTGACCACAGTGAAACCTACTCAGACTCGAGTCATGTGTGTCAGGATTTCAGGGACTTAGAAGAAGGAAAATGAGGGGAGGAAGAGAAGCAAAATAAGCAGAACGGAGAAAGGTGCAAGCACATGCTTTGTGGTTGCAGCAACTACAGATGTGGTTTGCAAACGGATGCACAGGAGCAGAACAGGAGGAAGCCCTGACGGAGGCTCCAGCCTCCTTCGCAGGGGCAGCTCTGTGAGCCAGGGTGGGATCCTACCTCTGAACATTCTGGTAAAATTCACAAGCAGAGACTTTCCCCTCCTGTTACAGAAGGTGAAGTCTATTTTATGGGGAAGCAGGAATACAGGACTGGTACACAAACAGGCCAGCCACACTGGGCAGACCTGGTTCAAGCAGAATGGAGAGCCCCAGGGACATGGAACCAGGTTGTGGGGTGGAAGGGAGTTTCCGCCTTGTCACGAGGAAGGACTGCAGTGCACAGAAAGTAAGGACGTTTTCGATGAGAGAAGAGTGCCTCAGAGTGAACCCTTGGTGGGCGATTAGCATCGCAGTAGGATGCAGCCAGGGAGCCCACGTGAAGACAGATGGAAGACACATGGGCTGTTATATACCCAGCTCTTTAACACCAGTAGTGTTGGAAATGTGAAACCCAAGCAGGGATTTTGTTTATGGGTCACAAGAGCTCACTGTTCTTCACAAATTCAGCAGAGTATCTACCAGGAAGTTGAAGATGTAAGCCTCTTCTTTTGCCTTAAACCCTGAACATAACTTGCCACGTGAGGCAACACATTAACAACAACACAGATGTTTGTGTTTCCATTACTTCTCCTCCCCTCTGCTCTTCTATGTGATCGGCATTAGTTTCTTACTTATTCCTCTGATGGTTTTTCTTTGTAGAAACTTAAGTATGAATATATACCCCTGGTCATCCTTTCCTTAAACAAAGACACCCACTATATTTGGTGGTTCTGTGCCTTGCTGTTCTTCCTCTTTATAAAAATTTTAATCAATACATATTAATTATACATACTTAGAGGGTACAGTGAGATAATCTGGCAGATGCGACCTTGCTTTTCTTAGCTGAACAGTATGTCTATCCTGGAGAAGGAGCTTCCTTGTTCTCTGTTTGCACGGCCCCTGTGTGACAGTCTTGCAGGCTGGTGCTGACTAACCAGTCTCCTGTGGATGCCCGGACCCTTCAGCGGAACTAAAGCTTTCATCACTACAAGTGATACTGCAATGCACAAACTTCTATGTAAATTATTTCCTACACAGGCAGGCAAAGCTGTAGTGTGGATTCCCAGAAGGCAGACTGCTAGATCAAAGACAGACGTGCCAGTAGTTTTGAAATATGTACCCCTCGGTGTTTTTATAGCATAGCATGTTATAAATGTTTGAACTCTTGCCAGTTTGATAAGCAAAAAATGGTATTTCAAGTGCAGCTTAATTTTATATTTATTATAAAAAAAAGCATTTTCATATAATTAACTATTTGTGTTTATTTTTCTATGAACCGTTGGGTCATGTCCTCTGATAATTTCTCTATTGGAATAATGATGTTTTTTTTGGTTTCTGGGAGCTCTTTGTATATTAAGGAAGCCACTCTTTGTGATATAGTTTTAAATATTTTCCTACTTGAATTTGTAAAATTTTGTACACGTCAGGTTTATTGTTTTCCAAAGACTTACACATTTCGAGTCATAGCTTAAAAGGCTTTCATTACTCTAGGGTTAAGCAGAATTCACCTGGGTTTCTTCTGGTGCTCCGATGGTTTTATTCTTTATATTTAATATTGTCAATGTTAATTCCAGTGCTCGAGATGTAGAATTAGCCTCTGATCATCAGTTTGCCATTACTGTGACAAAATACCAGAGATAATGTGCAATGGGGAAAGGTTTAATTTGGCTCATGGTTTCAGAAGCTTCATTCAATGGTCAGTCCCACTGCCTCTGAGCATACAGTGAGGCAGCACATCATGGTGACAATACGTGGAGCAAACTGCTTACCTTATGGTGGCTGGGAAGCAGAGAGGAAGAGGAAGGGCACACCCTCAATATGCCCTTGTTAGACCTCCTGCTAGGCCCTGCCCCTTAAAGATTCCAACCCC